ACTTGATTTGGAGGCTTACTATGTGTTAAGTACAGAGAATAGCCCTGTCTTCAGTGGGCTTGTAGTCTATAGAGGATATAGACAAGTACACAGTGATGTAGAACACAAGGCAGAGCGTACTTAGTACCGTGGGAGGGATCAGCCTGGTGTTGTGAGGTGCTGGGAAGAGGAGGTCACACTGATTTAGGTCAGGAAGGACTTCTGAAAAGTGGTGACTTTTAAGGTGGCCCCAGGGAAGGATTGGGACCTCTCAGCTCACAGAAAGCGGGGAGCCTATTCTAGGAACAGGGAGTATGCCTAAGTCACTGAACCTTCAGATATCAAATAACTGCAGGGAGGTAAGGGCCAGATCACAAGGGCTCTGCTGGGAGGCTGGGGAGGCTGGACTTCCAGAAATTGGGAAGCCATAGGCAGTTTTTGCACAAAAGATGATCTGAACAGAGGGGTGGCTCAGAGAGGTGGATATGGCAGTTCAGGAAGTAATGGAGGCTGTGGGCTACTTTGGAGGCTATGTGGGTGGAGTCCATTCATTTGTCCACTATACTCTGCTGTGGTCTGGACACCGTGCCAGGTAGTGAGGCCACCAAGAGGCATAACTTGCAGCCTCTGAGCATCAGAGACTGATAATAGTAACTCCCATGCAGGCTACCTTTGCCCAACACAGTTTTAAGTACCTTACATAAAAGGTTTTCTTAGTTTTCGCAGCAACCCAATGGTGTACACACTGTGATATCTCCATTTTATAGAGGAGGACACTAAGCACCATGGAGAGGAAATGTCACACCCAAGGTCACATAGTTGGTCACTGATGGAACTGTGATTGGCCTGCAGGGTCCTGAGCCTTCACCACTAACCTTGACTCCATACACCCAAAGGTCATTTAGAATACAGTGAGATCTGTTTCTGGTAACTGCAGGTAAAAGTTCCATGTGAACACATAAGAGAGCAAATTAACCCAGATGGGCAGGGTGGGTGGAGCAGGAAAGGCTTACTCAAGGAGGGAATCGTCACCTAAGTCTTTGAAGGTGAGTGGGGTAATTTAGCCAGGCAGGCAAAGGGCTGGGTGTAGAATGGGGAGCATAGGGATTTTCTGTGGAGGGGAAGCACAGTCCCAGAAAGGGGAAGACAGCATGGTGTGTTGAGGGCCTTCCAAGTTCAGTGTTGCTGGCCCCTAGTAAGTAAAGCCAGGAGTGGGCATGGCAGAGGCTAGCGTATAGGTGGGGCCAGGTCCATGGACTAGACTCTACCCGGTGGTTGCCAGAGACATGAAGGGCGTTGGGCAGAGAAGTCTTGTGACCAGATTTGCTTTCTGATGGTACCAAGAGTTGGAAGAGATCCAGGAGGTCATTTTGTCAATTGCTGTCAGACGTCTGCATGCGAGGGCAGATGACACAGAGGAGCTCCCAGGACAGGACTCGTGAGGCCAGAGCACTCCAAGCATGGGACGTGACTCGGCAGGCTCAGCTAGTTGTTTAGCTGGTGTTTGGGTCTGTAGTTCTGCTTCATTCAATGTGTCATTCATCCATCGGATTTTGACTGAATGCTGAACGTGCCCAGGCTGGCTCTCTGCTAAGCACTTGACATTCCAGGAGGAAAGGACATGGTCTCTGCCCTTGAGGCCAGCTGGACCACTAGGCAGATAATTCCAGGGCAGTGGGATGCCAGCAGTCGGTGGGGTGGGCATTGGGCCCTGAGAGCACAGTAGAGGAAGCACAGTCTCCCTGCTGCGGCCTCTCTCCTTGCCCCCTCCCCACCTCACTCCCAGCCTTAAGAAGAAAACGATTTTTACCACTTATTTATTTTTGAGAGACAGAGCGTGAGCAGGGGAGGGGCAGAGAGAGAGGGGGACACAGAGTCGGAAACAGGCTCCAGGCTCTGAGCTGTCAGCACAGAGCCCGACATGGAGCTCGAACTCACAAACCACGAGCTCATGACCTGAGCTGAAGTCGAACGTTTAACCGACTGAGCCACCCAGGCGCCCCACTCCCAGCCTTGTAAAGCCACAGACTTGCCTGGATTTGAGTCCCAGCTCTGCCCTTTACTAGCTGTGTGATGTTGGGAGTTACTGAAACTCTTTGTGTCCTCTGTTTTAAAATGAGCACAGTAGTAGTATCTGCCTCAACAGATAGCCATCAGGATTAAATTAGTTCACGTCCACAAAGCAGTCAGGATAGTGCTTTGGCATACAAGAAGTGCTCCATAGATGCTCTTATTACTTTAGGTCCAGAATCCCTCCGCCTAAACCCTCTGTACAAGGCACATTTTAGGTTTCAGAATTACGTTAGTCAGGGTTCAATCAGGTGAGAGAAACCTCCCAGTTATCTAAACACTGAAAGCTTAATGTAAAGAATTCTAAACTCTGACAAGAGATTGCAGTAATGAAGGATTGACTGCTGTGAAGTAACGAGTGCTCTAAATATAGCTTAAAGAATGTGGGGATAGCAGATGTAGGAGCAGTGGCTCCCCCTAGGGCTCAGGTAGAGCACCAAGGAGCACCCCCATCCCGGTTGCAATGGAATTCGAAAGGAAGGTCCTCCCTCCTGGGGCTGAGATGGAGCACTCGTAGAAGAGGCCCCCAGACAGAGATCTTGACTTTGTTGGGGAGGGCACAGCTGTGCTTCGCAAATGGTAGAGAAGCAGCTGTGGTGCCACGCCAGTGACGGGTGCTGGGGACAGCTGTCCGTGGTGAGGCGCCTCCCAGAAGGCAGTCGGCTACAATACCACGGGAGTGGGTAACACGGGGAGGCTGCTGGCGGCTTGGTGCCGTTGCACACTGTGGCCGGACGATAGAAACGTTGTGTTTGCGGCTCTGGCTGGCCCTGTGCCAGAGACGTGGTCATCAGGCTAACGTGAGTTCGCTCCTCGGTGAGTCACAGACAGAAACTAGACCAGGTGGCGTGGTCACACAAAGGAAACTTTATTTGCAGCAAATAAGGAGATCACAGGGAATAACTTCCAAAGCCGTGAGCCCCCAGGCAAGGGCGAATGGGTTGCTTTCACTCAAGGTTAGGGTGACTATTCATCGTTATGTAGAGGCGAACGTAAGGTCATGCCTATATGTACGTTGTACGCTATGTAAGTGCGTCTTGTGCTCCTCCTTGGGCAGAGATTTTAGTATCAAGGGAGCTGCATGGGTCACTCCACGGTCCGTCTGTACAGGTACAGGTCAGAGGTTAGGCTCAAACTGGTCTGTGTGGTCTGGGCCTCCAGAGCCCTTCGTCCAGGCAGTTGTCATTGCTTGAGAGGTGGCTTTGGTTTCCATCACCGGATGCTATGCCTCTTGGGTCTTTTGCCTGAATTAAGAGAGAAGCTGCAAAAAAGAGCGTAAGGAAAAGTGTAGGACAGAGGTTGGTGGGTCCAAGCAGGTGAGAGCAGTAAAGGTCAGGTGTCGGGGTCCAGCTGGTAACAAGGTCATCTGTGCTGCCTGCCTGGCACATGTACCAGAACCAGGATAGAAAACATACAGGAAAACCCTTTCCTCCCACAGTGTCTCTCTAGCATCTTCGACCTGTCACTGTGATTACTATTAACATCATGTTGTCTAGCGAGGGAGAAAATGTTTAAAGGGCCCAGATCTATTTTTGCACAGCAGACAGGGAAGGTGCATTTGTGGTTGGGAGGCAATAAACTGGTCAGGGGCACAAGAATCTTTCTGATTTAGGGAAGTTGATGCAGTGCATATATTATATTATGTAATAGCCCCAGTGGGGTCTATGGGTAGCTCTCCATAACCAGAACATACTATTTTTTTTTTCTTGTGGCAAAAATGTAAGAATATTCATGCTAAGTGGATAAAGAGCATAAGTAGCTTCGTGTCCATTCAGGCCAGGTTTTGTCACTAAATGAGTTATTAAAAAAAAAAAAAAAGTTACAGAAAAAGCTTTTGGATCCTGAAATCGAGGCTAAGGGATGGTTGTGTCTTGTGTTTTCATTACCTTTCTCCACACAGCAGCCAGAGGGGTCTTTTGGAAAATGTCCATTATGCCACTGGCTAAGGTAAAGACTAAACTTCACTTCAGGCCCCCTCCCAACACTCCCCTCCCTGCCACCCCTGCCCTCCATTCGTACTGACCTTGAACAAGCCATCTTGTTACCTGGAGTGTTCTTCCAGTCTCCCTGCCACACAAACACACATGCACATGCACACACACATGCACAAATGGCTCGGCTAACACCGCCTCACGCTTCGGATCTCAGCTCAGGTGTCTTAACCTCAGGATAGCCTTCTGACCATCTTTCCCCCCACCCCCCAGCCCTCATCCTGGTTCAGGCCTTTTTTCTTTAACACATATCTTAGTTTGTGATCACACAAACTTATAATTAGTGTGATTAGTTGATCACTGTGTCACCCTCTGAAACGGTGAGTGCCATGAGGTTGGTGGCTATGTCTGTTTTTCCCCCTCGTTATTTTATCCCCAGTGCTTTACACAATGCCTGACATACAACATATTTGATCAAGGAGAAAATGAATGGACAGTCTTGGATTAGATCCCAAACCAGGCCAAAAAGAATTAGCTATAAAGGACATTACGGAAACTTAGGAACTGTGGATGAGCTGTTAGTATTGTATCAGTGTTAAATTTCCTGACTTTGGTATCCTTATTTTAGGAAATACATGCTAAAGAATTTAGGAGTAAGGGGTTATATGCCTTCACCTTTCTCTCAAATGTTTCAGGACAAAAAAAAAAAAAAAAATTGAAGTTTAGATAGCTGAGAGAGAGAATGATGAAACATGTAACAACAAACATGGATGAAAGATATATAGGAGTTCATCATGCTGTTCTTGTATCTTTTCTCTAACTTCAAAGTTACTTCACAATAAGATATTGTAAAGAATTCAGTGAATAGAAACAAATGAACAAAAGGGAAAGGGGATGCTAGGAGGAGTGCTCTCCGAAGGGCTTGGTCACTCTGGGGAGCTCTGAGGAGGCTGTGTGGCTGGAGCATAGCCCTGGGATTGGGGAGGGATCAGCTGGGGGTGGGGAAGGATTGGCTGGAGCTGGGTCCCTCATCTGGGCCGCAGGCCTGTGTGTTTTGAGGGGGTGAAGCACTGAGCTGTTCGGCCAGCCTTAGCCTGAGTACTCCACATTCCCTCTCCTCTTCCCTATGGTGATTACTGAGCCAAAGCCCGAGTGGGTGAAGCCAGCCCATCTTGGGTCTTCCGTCTGATTTCTCTTTTAGTTTAATAATAGGGAAGCTCTCATCCAAGTATGAGGATTACTCCTCCTACCTGAAAACTACAACTTCCCTGTTGTCTGTTTGTTGTTAAGCCCACCACATGGTTCCTGTATGGGTTATATGTGGCTGTATAGCGGATTATCCCAAAATGTGGTAGCTTAACACAGTGTTTATTACCTTGTGGTTTCTGTGGGTCAGGAATCTAGGCTCAGCTGGGTGGCTCTGGCTCATGGTGGGTCTCTCATGAGATTACAGTCAAGATATTGGCCAGCTCTGGAGTCATCTGAGGTCTTGACTGGGGCTAGGGGGTCTGCTTTCAAGAAGGCTCACTCTCATGGCTGTCGCAGGAGGCCTCAGTTTCTCAACGCCTGGACCTCTCTGTAAGGAAGCTTGAGTGTCATTACCGCGTGGCAGCTAGCTTACCCCAGAACGAGTGATCTGAGAGTGAGAGCAAGCAGGAAGTCACAGTTCCTTGTGTGACCTAGTCTCAGAAGTTGCACATTGTCGTGTATGCTTTGCTCTGTTAGTTGGATGTGAGTCACTAAGTTTAGCAGACCCCACCTCTTGAAGGGAGGAGTGTGAAAGAACTTGGGCACATTTTAAAACCACCACAGCTCCTGAGGGCCTACCGCGTGCTGGGCACTAGAGGTGGTTCAGGGGATCCAAGGCATGGACCACCGTCTGCCCTCCAGAAGTTTACATCTGCTTGGGGAGGTGAGACATGCTCGGAAATTGGTCATGAGAACCAAGATACTCCGTGGCAAGCTAAGTCCGAATGAGTAACCCAAGGGAGCTCTTTGGAACGCCTGAGCTGGGCCTTCGCAGATGAGCAGCTCCTACTTTGGCTCTTGACCCTGATCATGGCACTGTCATACAATGATAATGAATACTGATGGTAGCACTTGAGCATTTTCACTGCGGTGGGCGCTGTGCCAAGGGGGACCGCCTCGTGGCGCATCTCCATTTGTGAGTAGCATTCCTTGGAATCGTGCAGTAGGACAGCCCTGGTGCCAAGTGCTTCATTTCTGTAATCTCATTTATGCTTTGAATTGCCCTGTGGGATTGCTATTATTATCCCCATTTTACAGATTACGCAAGTAAAGTTTAGAAAAATTAAGTGACTTATGTAAGATCCTACAGCTAGTAAGTGGCAGAGGGCTTAAGACCACAGGCCCCTGTAGGTTTAACTTCCAGCTTCTGTACTTTCAGAGCTTTAGAGTCCTGAGTAACTGACTTTAACCTCTCTGCGTGTCTGTTACCTCCTCTGTAACATGCATATAAAACTGCTTAATGTTCCCAGTGTAGTGCCTAGCGTGTGGTAAGCATTAACTACTGCTGCTGTTATCAGCTCACAGTCAAACACACAGCTGTGCTGTCCCCTCAAGTTCTTTGCGTTAGTTTGTTATAAAGGGTTGAAATGGGAGAAGCATGTGGTAACTACAGTCGCCCTCTTCATGTGCAGGGTTTACAAATTTGCAAGGACAAAGAACTTGTCCAGGCTGAACATGCAGTGCGTCTTTAGTGACTGATTCTGGCATTTCCAGTGTCTGCTTTCTTCCATGAAGATGTGGATGCTTTGAGGGACACCTGCCCAATCCCTCCTCTGCACAGGCCCAGACGGTGGCCAAGCTGGGTTTTAGGAAGCTGAACGTGAGTTGGCAACTTTCTTTGGAAGTGCTTTCCCCGTTGAGAGGCGAGGAGCACCGGACTGGATGCCAGTTAGGATATAAGCCTGTGCCGTGGGCCCTTGAGCCAACTACTAAACCTTCCTGGGCTCCGAGGGCCTTCCCTCCAGGGTTGTCCGTCAGAAAGAAGATGGAGAAAGTGTGTTTTGAAAACCGTGAAACTCTGGTGCAAGGCTCTGGGCCTCTTCATTCCCTTCCAACCATTTGAGAAATTGTGGCTTCTTTAAGCAATTGGTATACTGAAAGGCCGTGTGATGGGAGTCACTCCTTCTACCCACACCCTCTTTACTAAAACATTTTTGAGCAAAATCAGTTTCGATTTGAATTCTGAGGATCAAATCAGCCTCTAAACAAAATCCAGGACCAGGTGGTGCTCTTTTTGAAAATTCAAACCCCATAACCAACTTGGGGGACTTATCTTTTGAAATTAATCTTTTTTTCTTCTTTTAATGAATGGGCATTTGTCGACTGCACCAGTTCATTATGGAATTCATCCGAATGTTTCATTCACTGTGATCTCAGAGGCAGTGTGTGCTCACTCACCACCCGTGGGAATGACAGAACCCACTTCGAAAAAGAAAAAAAATCTTCCTCCCTTCATTTCCTCACTTTAGACTAAAACACTTCCTTTTTTAAACTTAAAAAAGGGGACTAATTTTCTCTTGTTAAAATTCGGATATGCATGAGCCTTTTTTTTTTTTTTTTTTTTTGCAAAATTATTGCACATCTCTGTATATTCATTACCCAAGGAGGTTATGAGTAAGCCCTCCCTGGATCCTCTGGTGGCGCAAAGTGATGGGAGGGGGTTCAGTCAGTTATCTGTATAAGAGGCTCGCTCTCAGTGTCTCTCCTCCATTTTCCCATTGTTAGACTACTTACCAGAAGACAGAAAGAGGAGAGGTTGAGGGAAGAGGAGGAGGAGGAGGAGGAGGAGGAGGAGAAATGTCAGAGAGAAGCCTGGAGCTGTCAGCTCTCTAGCTGTCTGACCTCAGAACAATTGCTTAAACTCAGAGCCCGGTCCCACCTTTAAAATGGGGATAATGACAGTAATAGCTGCGTTGCAGGGCTGTGGCGATGATTATCTGAGAAAATCTGTGCGGGAAAAGTGCTTTTGTAAATGCCATTATACCGTTATTGGTACTGAGATATGATTGCGCACATGTATAACTTGTACGGGTTTTTAAATATAAGTTTTACAAGGGTTGCTTTTATTTTTAGACGCAGTTTGAGTTGGAAGGGAATCTTAGGAATCCTTTAGTATGCCGTCTCACCGTGGGGGAGGAACCCCCTCTGTGGCAGCCTTTGGCTTGAATAGCTCCAGGGATGGGGAGGTCACCACTTCTCCCTCTTCTTTCTCCCAATCATCCCAGTTTTGTTCTTCAAGCTATAGGACATGCCAGTGATTTTCTTTTCCCTAAGATAGACAGCAAAAGAATAATGTCGTGGTTAAAAATGAGTAAGCATGCCGTGGCATGCGTTATGCAGATCTGCTGTCTGTACACTTTGTGGCTGGAGGTATGTCACCAGTCTCCAAAGTATTTGAATTGCTTGTTTGGGGGATCTGGTATTCTCCGTACCAGAAGCTCCTGAGTTATCAGGACTGAGCCTGCAGCCCCAGAGCAGGAAGACGGCCTAGCAGGGCCCTCTTAGTTCTGTGTGCCTGAATGCCTTTCTCTTTTTCAACTGGTGTGGTTGTTTTGTTTTGTTTGTTTTAGCTATAGGTAGATACGGATTTATCTCAGAAGGTACATTCTGGCCGCAATTGTTTCCTTCTCTTCTTCTTCTCCTCACTTCCCCTTCTGAAAGGGGAAGCCCGGGGTCAGCACTTGGTGGAAAGCCTGTTTACTTTACGCCTGCTCCTGCCCCTGGGGTTTTCATTCCTCCCCGTGCAAGATGTAATGGTGAGGAGGCCGAAGCTGGGGCTGGAAAGACCTCAGACACCATCCTGGTGAACACTTTACAGACTGTCTCTGAAGGTCCTCAGGGATTCTGTAAACGTGGTTTCACCTTGTGTTGACTCTTTTTAAACTACAATAATAGAAAACATGTTTTTGAATCACTTACATGTATTATGTACTACATTTTTACATGTCGGAGGTCACCAGTTTATTCTTCCAGCATCTGTTTAATTGAAGAGAATCCTGAAATTATAGGGCAGGCTGTGTTAAAAAAAAAAATACATCTACTTATTCATCAAGTGTATCTGCTATTTATTATATCAAAAAAGTTTTCTCAGCATTGAGTAACTAAAGCAAAAGAGAGAAACTGTACTTTGAGGCAGATGTAAGCTGTAAGCTCTTGTCTCTCACTCCTGAGGTCAGATTATGTTGATCAGAAAACCACAATGTCCTCATTGGTTGACTTTACACTAAGGACATATTATTGATTTGAAAAGTTAAAATGTATAATAACAAAATGCAACTGAGTAATAAAAGGCTTCACTCACTGAAAACCTACCACCCTTTCACAGAACACATCCGTTAGAGTAGTTGGGACCCTCTTCTAGTCCATCATTGCTTACCTCTTAAATTATGCCCCAGGTCATTTAGGTAACATGATATTTGCATAGAAGAAGGCCTACTGGCAACTCTATTTTTATTTTCATGTTTATGTCTGAGCACCTGCTTTTTACTTGTGAGTGGACCCTGGCAGATTTTTCACTTCTAGATTTTGTTGATCCATGACCTGTGCTCATGAGTGAGAAATTCTTCTTCTGCCCAATCCCAGATAGTCATGCTTTTATTATAAGCCCATAACATTTTACCCCGTCCCATTTTTTCCCCCATGTGCTCAGAGGCCTCTTGGGCAATGTGCCCATAAAAATCAGTCCAGCGCTGTGGAACACCTAGAATGATACAGAGATCACCCCTCACCCCTAAGCGTCCTTGAAGCCAAGCAGCCCCCATTTCCTTCCTGTTCACTCACTGGATGTCTTTTCTGCCTCTCAGTCTGTCTGGCAGAGCTCTGTGACCCCACTCCTGTTGTTCCCCTTTTTTGTGAACCACAATGGCTTCAGCCTGAAGTCCTCGATGCTGATGGATCCCAAGATTTGGTTAGAACCCTGTCCTTTGTGGAAATTGAGGGTATCACCCCACCTTCCCTGCTCACAGAGTGTGTTGTAAGGGCAGGGGGGCAGTGCTGGTCGTGGAGTGCTTGTTGCCATGGGAATCCGAGGTTCTGCTGCCTCTTCCCGGTGGAACTGGTGTCTGTGCCCTGCGCCAGCCCTGTCTGCTGCTATGTTCCCTTCTCTCTCATCCCAAGAAGGCAGGTAGTAAAGGAGATAGAGGGAGTCCCAGCTTGCCGTGCCGCTGTCCCTTCCTCCTCCTCCTCCTCCTCCTCCTCCTCCTCCTTCTTCTTCTTTTTTTAAAGTTTTATTTATTTCTTTATTGAGGGGCAGAGAGAGTGAGAGCACACCAGCTGGGGAAGGGCGGAGAGAGAGGGGGAGAGAGAGACTCCTAAGCAGGTTCCATGCTGTCAGCACGGAGCCCATCAGCGGGACTTAAATTCACAAACCATGAGATCATGACCTGAGCTGAACTCAAGAGTTGGACAGTTAGCCTACTGAACCGCCCAGGCGCCCCTTACCTTCTAAGTGCAGTAAAATCAGGGAAGGGTCCTACACATACACACAGAGCGAGCACATCCCTCTTTTCCCTGTATTCAAAATAAATCTGGGGAAGCAGCCTCTCCCTCAAACACCAGCCCCGCCTCAAGCAAAACAGGCTCAGCAGTCGGAAAGGCCTAGATTTGAATCACTGTGTCACTTGTCATCGCTGTGTGAAACTTAACCGTCTTGGGCCTTCGTTTTCCCACGTGGGAAACGGAGAGAATGGTCACCAACCGCATACACCAACTGCTGGCGATTCATTGTGAGACTGTCACTTTGTTAGGGCTTAAAAATAGCTATTAATTCTTTGGTGATAGTAGTGTCTAGAGGCTGGTTTCCCTTCTGCAAGTAAGCTGGGCGGTTTAACTGACCCGACGGGCCCCAGATGGACATGTCGGGAGTGGGGAAGAGGAAAAGGAACACTCTGTGTGGTTTGCCCCGCCCCCTCCTCCTGGCTCCCTTCCACACCCCAGCACCCCAGCCGCCATCCCCTGTTCCATCAGGAGCAGGGTTACTCCCACTGCCCAAGAGCTGCGCGGCGCCAGCCTTCTCGGCGTGGGCATTTTCAGCCCAGATGACATTTCCTCACAGGCTTGCGGCATCTTCCCCTCCCCACCTCGTAGTCCCCCTCATTTCAGAAGCCCTCCGGGGACTTCAAGATGAAACACTTCCACCCTGGGTAGATCGTTTTCATCGAATTCTCCAGCTTGTGGCCTCTCTCCACTGTTGAGGAGAGACATTTTACTTAATTACAGGCCCCATGGGCTCAGGGATCAATAGCAGTAAAGAGCCGTGGAATGAATTCCTAGCCTCTGCTCCGTTTCCCACTGTCTCTGCACCCTTGCACCAGGTGCACAAGCCCTGTGGGCCTCAGTTGCCTGTTCTCTGCAATGGGAGTGCCTATTTCCCAGGAGTGCTGGGAGCCCCCGCAGCAAGGTGTGGGGATCAAAAGTGTTGAAAACTGTAGTGTGCTGGCCACAGGTAAATTATTACTAAGAGCGTATGTGTATTCCCAAGGGGCAAGCATGAGGGATGTTTCTCTTCAGAGTCATTTCTTCCTCTTGTTCCTTGATACCTTAAGACCAGCTGGCAGGTTCCGTCTCCCTTTCTGAGTGTGAGAGAAGCAAGCAGCCCAGACAGAATTAGGCAGGTGGGTATGTGGGTGGAGTGTGGGTTCCTCCAGTGAGGAAAAGTGATCATACAAGTGGGACCTGGGATAAGAAGTCAAAAGCCTCAGCTTTTCCCTGGGAATTGGGGTCTCCAGCTGTTCTGACATTCACTACACTGACCACCTCTAGCCCTGAGCCTTCACAGCCAAGAAAGAAGCCTTGTTTATTCCAGACACTGCTTCCTTCTTCCTGCTTTCTTCTTGCAGCATATTCTGCACACAGCAGCCCAGGTGATCTTTCTAAAACACAAGTCTGATCATGTTCCTTTCCTGCTTAGAACCCTTCCATGACTGCCTGTAGCTTTGAGGCTAAAATCCAGAATTCTTGGTGTCGCTGTTTGGGCCCTTATGACCTGGCCCCTGCCACCTTCTCCGGTGTCCATTTCCGGCTCTCCCTCCAGTCCCCTCGGGTCTAAGCCAGAGCCCATCCACTCTGGCTCTGGTTCTCAGGCCTTGAGCATGCTACCAGTTTGGGCTTTCCAAAGCCAGGTCCTCTACGTGCTACTGAAGGCTCTGCTGAGACATCACCTCCCCCAGTAAACCTTCCCTGACCACCCTGCCTTCCTCAGTCTGGGTGGGTTCCCATGGCAGCCTGTGCATTTATGGGTGTTATGGCCCCAGCCACATCCCAGGACCCACATCCATTTCCGTGGAAACCTCTCCTTGTCTACCACCCCCATCCCTGCATGAGCTCCTTGAGACCCAGGCCTGTGTGACTGGTTTACCATCATACCCCCGTGGCCCTAGCACGCCTCCTGCCACAGAGTGCATGCCAAATAATGGGATGGAGGGGCGCCTGGGTGGCGCAGTCGGTTAAACGTCCGACTTCAGCCAGGTCACGATCTCGCGGTCCGGGAGTTCGAGCCCCGTGTCAGGCTCTGGGCTGATGGCTCAGAGCCTGGAGCCTGTTTCCGATTCTGTGTCTCCCTCTCTCTCTGCCCCTCCCCCGTTCATGCTCTGTCTCTCTCTGTCCCAAAAAGAAATAAACGTTGAAAAAAAAATAATAATGGGATGGAGAAATGGCTTGGGATGTTATCATTAGATGAGAAGCCTGGGGGGGATCAGAGTCGCCTGGGCACTTGTCAGACACCAGCTTCCTGGCCTCATCCCACCCTCCAGGATGCAGAATTTCTGCGGGTCTGCCAGGGAATCTGCATGTGCACACCCAAGTGGTTCTCATGCAGATTTGAGGACCTCTCAGTGATCTCCTTCAAGCCTGGCATTTTACAAAACAGGAAAGCTAGATCCAGAGACAGATATAGTAAGTGATTTCTGTAGATCTCAATCTCTCTCTCTCTCTCTCTCTCTCTCTCTCTCTCTCTTTCTCTTTCTCTTTCACATTCATACACACACACACACACACACACACACACACTTCTTTAAGACATAAAAAAGAAAGAAAATAAAGGCCCAGTGCTTTTTCTACTCCTAAAATGTTGATCTTCAAGAAACCCACAGGAAGCACAGGAGAGAGAATTTTTGTTTTTGTCTTTGTTCTGCCCTGAGGTCTGAACTAGGGAATTTTGGCATATTTTTTCATTTCCTTTCCATAAAAAGTATGCAACCTCAGAATATGGGGTACTTATTTTTAAAATTCAAAACAATTACTTTCACTCCAAGACTTATGTAATTTTTTGCAATGTTGGAAATCCCTGATGTTTCATTTTTCTGGTTCAGAAATGATTTGTAGAGAGTATGAATTATCCTGCCTGATGCCACGAGGTCTATTTTTATCCGTATGAGGATGTTGAGACTAAACCCGACAGAACATATTTACCATTGCTTATAGTACTCGGTGATGCTGCCTCTCTTTAGAGCTTGCCAGAGAGAAACCATGTAGGAACATGTGTTCATAATTAATTTGACCTGCTTAGTAGGACAAAATGGGGAGGAAGGATCCACCAGCTCCACATGTGGCAGAGATAAAGTGGAACATGCTCAGAGGAAAGTGCTGGAATGCCAAGGGTTGAGGAAATGTTTCTAAAGGGAAGGGCTAAAGACACTGGATGTTTAGGTTTTCATAGAAGGACCAGTGGCTGTGTCTGAAAGGCTTGAATGGCAGGGAGAGAGCATGAAAGGAAAGCAGAACCCTGGCCTGAGGGTGGGAGAGACCTTCCGTTTGAAGGTGTAAGCAAGAGCATCCTCCAAGGTGATGGATGAGTTTCTCATCAAGAGAAGTGTTTCAGGTGGGGGCCATCTTACAGGCCTGTCACCCAGTGTCCTGGGTGAGGGGTAGTCTGGACCAGGTGAAGTCCAAGTGCCCTTCTCACTGATCTGAGAGCAGACTCCAACGCCCACAGGCCCCAGCCTGTGACATAAGTGAGTGAAGGGTTCTGTGGCTGGGGCTGTGGGCAAGTGGGAAGGGGTTTGTTCCTTCCTCAGCTCCAGCTGTTGCTTGGGAATGCGGGTCCAATCAGGCCAGGTCTTTGGGTTTTTTCAAGAAAAGTTAGATTTCTAGATTTTTTTTTTTTTTTTTTAATATGGACTCTCCTGAGTTTTAAATATTGTGTGAGCTAAATAAAGCCATCTGTGCCCGCTGGGTCTTGGCCATGGCCTGCCAGTCTGACCCCTCTGTTCCAAGAATCTCAGGTTTGTGTGCACCTCAGGCTTTCAGGCAGGGGTGAAATGAGTGAGGTGGGCAGGGTAGGGATTATCTCTCCACCCAACAGATGGGGAAACGAGGTCGCCTGGAAGTACAAGGTAATAGCAGACGAGGGCTAAGGCAACAAAGAGGGCAATGAGTTTCTTCCCTGCTCGTTCCAGTGACATTTCATTTTTAAGCTTTTCTTTTAAAATAATGTTGGATAAAGGGTGCGCTGGGAGTGCTCAGTATTTCTTGGGGGTAGGGCCAGAGCAGGGGATTCGGCCTCCCCGAGTCACTTTCCCTTCCCCTCCCTGCACTGCTCCTGGAGCACCTCTTGCACTGAGGTGTCTGTGACTGCCCCCCCCCCCCCCCCCCCGGGGTTGTGCCTGCTCAGCCTGCACACCCATGCCTGGAGCCATGCAAAAGCTCTGCCTCTGCTTTTCCCCAAGGATCTGGGACATCCAGCCATACCTGAAATCTCCCATTACAGCTCTCTTCTTGGGTGAAGACTCCACAGGCACCCAGGAAGCTCTTTGAAAATGCACACAGGAAAAGAAAAAAGGCCACAGGAATGCAACCTGACAACTGTCTCAGCCTCCAAGTGTTGGATTGCCGTGGACTCAGCCGCTGAGTAAATTAGCTTTGCCACGAAGGCAACCACAGAACGCTGGTCCTATCCAAGCCACATTTATGGTGCTCCCCGCTGCGATTTGAGGCCTGTCTGCCGAGCTTCCTGCCTCTTGGCCTTCCCGCCGCTCTTTGTGCTGATGCCATGCTTCCAAGAGCAGCTTTCAGACCAACTTTAGGTTTTGCTTACTTTGCCGGTGAACATCCTGCTCGTTTTATTTTGTGGTTGGTTTTTATAAGGAAAAAAAAAATTTTAAGTACATATTTTTCAGACAACTGTGTTGAGGGGTATTTGAGATACAATAAATTGCACACTTTTGAAAGTGTGTAACTTAATCCATTTTAACATATGTATAAACTTTGTGAGATTACCATCGAAATCATAATAAACATTTCTATCATCCCCGGAGGCTTCTTTGTGCCCTTTTGTCTTTTTAATATTTTTAATTTTTATTTTATTTTTGAAAGAGAGAGAGAGAGAGAGAGAGAGAGAGCACGAGCCCCAGTGGGGGAAGAGGAGAGAGAGAGGGAGACCACAAGATCCGAATCAGGCTCCAGGCTCAGAGCTGTCAGCACAGAGTCTGACCGGGGGCTCAAACTCACAAACCCTGAGGTCATGCATAACCTGAGCAGAAGTTAGATGCTTAACTGACTGGGCCACTCAGGCACCCCTCTTTGTGCCCTTTTGTAACTAGTCCTTCCCTCTGTCTCCATGCAGTCACTGACCTGCTTTCTTTCTAGATGAGCTTGTGTTTTCTAGAAATTGCATAGAACTTCACCCAATGTGTGTTCCTCTTTGCCTGCTTTTTTCACCAAGCAAGATGATCATTGAGATTCCTCCATGTCCTCCTGTGTATCAGCAGCTTGTTTCATTTTATTGTTGAGCAGTTTCCCATTATGTGTCTGTTCCGTCATTTGTTTATCCGTTCTCGTGTTGGTGGACATTTCGGTTGTTTCTAGCTTTTGGCTTGTACAAATAAAGTTGCTACGAACATTTGTGTACAGGTCTGGGGTTTTGTTTCACTTGGGTGGATAGGTACCTCCAGAAACAGTGTATTGGCTAGGTGGTATGGTAGGCGTATGTTTAATTTTTTAAGAAGCTGCCAAATTGTTTTCCAAAGTGGTTGTATCGCTTTGAGTGCCCACGTCAGCCTGTGAGAGTTCCAGTTGCTCGGCGTCCTTGACAACACTTGGAATGATCAGTCTTCAATTTTAGCTCTTCTGTGGGGTGTGCAATATTCACGCCTCCTGACACGACATTTGCGTGCTGTCACGAAGAACCTGTCTTCATGGGTGTGTTGGCTATTTTGTATCTTTTGTGAAGTGCCTGTTAAAATCTTCCGCCAGTTTTCATTCATTTGGGTTGTTTGTCTTTATGGAATTTTAAGAGTTTTAAAAATATATTCTGTAATACAAGTCTTTTGTCTGATACATGTTTTGGGAATGTATTCTCCCGGTCCGTGGCTGTTTTCCTAATAAGGTGTCAGTATTGTGGAGTAAAATCTGGAGCATATGGGGTTTCCAGGGACATGAAAGCCATTGAATATTGAACAAATGCAATAAACCTTAAGAATCCTGTAGAACCCAAACTTGGTACCAACATGATTGAGAGTGTATTTAATAACATTACCTCTTAGTTTAGAAATTATTTTACATAATTTGAGAAAAGCACTGTGTGCGGCACCATACTAGGTATTAGAAGAGATGGAAGGAACTGTAGAAACATCATGAGATGTGGATACTCTTCTTAGGGGGCTCACATCCATGGAAGAGTGAGCATATACATGTATTCTGATGACAGTAATTACTGTGTATACTATATGCTTGATTGGCATGATCTCATTTAATGTCCAGAACAACCCTCTAATATAGATTTTCCCCATTTTGCAGATGAAGAAACTGAGGCTTAGAGGAGCTAAGTAACTTCCCCAGAGCATACAGCTATGATATGGCAGATATGGATTCAATCTCACTTCTGTCTGACTTCAAAGTCCATGTACTTAACCGTTAGACTAACTGCCTTCCAGGTAGAGCATAAGCTAAGATGTGTTGAGAATCATACGAGAGTTATAAACAGAGTGTTATGGAACAAGAAGTGGAAAAATTTATTTTTGGTTCTGTACCAGAAAGCACCATCGAGGCGTTAACATCCAAGTTGGGCCTTGAGGAGTGTTTACAACCTCAGTAACAAAGATGGCAGAAGAGAAATGGCAGTTGAAGGGAACAGCATGAGCAAGGATGTAGAAGAGGTTAGAAGGGTCATGGGACCTATTGACCAAAGTCCAGTATTCTTCAGGGGGAAAGGTACAAGAAAAGGTCTTGAAAATCAACTCCAAGGGCCTCAAAAATCAGGCTGAGAAGTTTGAACTGGATTCCACAAGGCAGTTGGGACCCACTGAAACATCTGAGAAAGGAGGATTGGGGGCAAGTGATATGCTGGCTCTGTATGGTGATGGGATAGAGTCTGGATGGACAAGGACATAGAAGAGGGACAAAGGGCAGTGGAGGGCCTTGTGATGCTACTATAGGTAACAAGGGCCTCAACTAGGGTATTAGTCATAGAAATGGACAGGAGGGAATACATAATATAATTCAAAACTAGAAGCTACCTCCTGTACATGATTTTTTATTCTGCCGACTTTTCCATAAGCCGGGACTAATTTGACCCAGTCCCCTTTCTGTCACTTCCTTTCTTATCCATCTGTATTTCTCATACTTCATTGCTCCCAGACAGTGGCCAGGGAGAAGAGAGAAACCCAATTTGTCCTGTCTGTAATTTGTTGGCTAATTCTGATAAATGAAGTGGTGCCTGGAGAAGGCTGAGTCTTTTGGCCAAAATGAAGTTTTATATTATTCATACATTTATTCATTCAGCTAACCAGATTCATTCATTTACCATTCCGATGGGTTTTTTTCCAATACCATCAAGCAGTTCTCCAGTTCTCAGTGGATGCTACTGGGTGTCTTACAAATTTGACTCCGTTCTGACACTGTCAGCCTCAAGTTAGCATCAGACCCCACAGGCTAAGGGCTCAGTCCCATAAGACTGCCCCCATTTCAGATGCCAATCACAAGTCCAGTTCCCCTGGGTTTCTGATCACCGGCTATCAATCAGAGGGTTCCACCACTCCCTCTTCAGGTGTGATTAATTTGCTAGAACTTGGAGAAATATTTACTTACGTTTACCGGTTGATTATAAGGGGTGTTATAATTTACGGTAATGTTACGTTTACAGGTTGATTATAAGGGCTGTTCATCTGGTGAACAGCCAGATGAAGAGGTGCATAGGGTGAGAGGTCCAGAAGGGTCCTGAGTACAGGAGCTTCTGTCACAGTGGAACTGGGGTGTTCTACTCTTCCTTCATGTTTACCAACTCAGAAGCTCATCACATCCTTTTATTCAAGAGTTTTTGTATATCTTAATCTGCAACCCAGCCCCCTGCCCTTTCTGGTGACCAGCCCCATCCTCAGGCTATGGGGGGGGGGGGGGGGAGTGTCCCACCCTACGTCACCTTATTAGCATAAACTCACCTGTGCTCAAAAGGGGCTCCCTTTGATTTATGAATGACAAAAGGCACTCCTGCCACTCTGGAAATTCCAAGGGTTTTCAGAGATTTGTGCCAGGAACTTGGGACTGAGACCAGATATATTTTTTTAAAGCATTCTTTTTTTTTTTTAACGTTTATTTCTTTTTGGGACAGAGAGAGACAGAGCATGAACGGGGGAGGGGCAGAGAGAGAGGGAGACACAGAATCGGAAACAGGCTCCAGGCTCTGAGCCATCAGCCCAGAGCCCGACGCGGGGCTCGAACTCACGGACCGCGAGATCGTGACCTGGCTGAAGTCGGACGCTTAATCGACTGCGCCACCCAGGCGCCCCTGGATATATTTTTTTATTATGCCATCCATGCTTCCAAACATTTGTTTATTTACTTACCAAACTCAGTCATTTGATATCTATCAAAAGTGGAAATATGTGCCGGACGCTATGGTAGGCTCACAGTGTGTAGCATCGAACAGCCTCCCTCTACAGAAGTTCACCTTTTAGTGGAGGCTTTTTCCTGCTGTCTTCAGGCATTTCTTTTTGTCTCACGTTTTTATGTTTCTTCCTCCTCTTCTCTCCTGACTGGAATTTTTTCTCATTTTGCTTTTTCCCTCTATTCTGCTATAAAAGTTCAGTATTCTGTTTCTACATTTTGAATAGTTAGCTAAGAAAATTTAACGTGTATTCTTGAATCTAAAATTAATCAATATACTTACCCTACTCCCAGCCAGTACACCTCACCTTTGATCACCCTCTCTTCTGATTTCACACTACTGTTGTCATGTATTTTAGTGATTGTTATTACTATTATTGAGTATAGTTGACACACAGTGTTATGTTTCAGGTGTACAACTTAGTGATTCAACAGGTTTATACATCATGTTATCACTACAAGTAAACCTACCATCTGTCCGCTTATATCACTATCACATTGATATTGTGTGTAATGATATTGACTGTGTTCCTTATGTTTAATTATTATTTTTAATTCCATAAGACTGTACTCTTACTGTTTTATACAGGCCTTCCGAATCGAATCACTTTCCTTTTGCCTGAAGCATATTGTTTTACATTTCTTTGAGGGTATTTTAAGAGCGAACTCTAGGTTTTGCTTGCGAATATCTTTATTTTGCTCCTGTTCTTTCTGGGTATACAATTCCAGTTTCACCGTTTTTTACCTTCAGTATATTCAATACATTATTCTATTGCCTTCCAGGTTTAATATAAGTGATGAGAAGCCAGGGGTAGTATAATGATTATTCTTTTATATTAAATCTGTCTTTTCTCTGGCTACTTTTAAGATTTAAAAAAAAGATTTTATCTCTTTTTGGTCTGCAGTTTCACTATAATGTAGATTTTTAAAAGCAGCTTTATTGATGTATAATTGGCATATAGTAAATTGCATATACATAATTTGGTAACTTTTGACATCTGTATATACCTGTGACACTGTCATGTCAAGATAATGAACATACCCCAATGTTTCCTTGTGTCCCTTTGTATTGTATAACCCCTTCTTCCTGTCCCTCCTGCCTTCCTCTAGTCCCCAGGCAACTACTGATCTATTTCCTATTGCTATAGACTAGTTTGTATTTTCTGGAATTTTACACAAATGGAGTCATACGGTATGTACTCTTTTTCAAGTCTGGCTTCTTTCATGGAGCGTGATTATTTTGAGATTCATTCTTGTTGTAGCGTTATCAATAGTTTCTTCCTTTTTTAATGGTCAGTAGTGTTCTTTTGTATGACAATACCACTGTTTGTTTGTCTGTTTACCTGTTGGTAGATATTTGGGTTGTTTCCAGTTTGGGCTTAGTACAAAGTTTTTGAGTTTTAATGTACAAGTCTTTGTGTGGGTGTATGCTTT